CGCCCGCCATCCCGGGATGGGCGACGTCGACCGACGTGGCATAGTGGGAAATGATATACCGTTGCCCGATCCCGGGATGGGCGACGTGGCATAGTGGGAAATGATATACCGTCGCCAACTGCACATCCATAAACTCACTTTGGCCTCACTAAAGCGAGGTCTGAATCCTTAATTCCCGCTACCCCGACCTCCAGTCCCAGAGCTCCCCCCTCCGGGTCCGGGGTCCGCGGGGCGCGGGGGCGTCCGGCCCTCCGCGCTCCGGCTCCGCCCTCCCGACCGACGGGGACGCCATCACCCTCGCCCAGGGATCTACAATGCTGTCTTAAGGTCCGACAGGTTCGGCACCGGGCCGCCTCGGTATACAAAATGCGCCTGCGGGCGGACCCTCATAGATCACAGATCACACATCACGCGGCTCGCTCTCAGCTCTCCGCACTCACCCACAGCCCGGACACACACCCGGCCGCACTTTACTCATTAACCCCCCCAAGCATGAATATGCGAGGCACCCGCCTCACGGGATTAGGTATGTGATCGGGCACCACTCCTTGACGTAATACATTCCCGTGAACACCCCATGCGCCGCCGACAGCGCCGGCTTGAAGACGCCCGGCACTGTGGAGTTGCCCCACAGGTTGGCCTGGTAGACCCCCTCGTCCATCCCAATCTCGGCGGACTTTGTCGCCTTGCACACTGGGTTCAGGGAGTCGAGGTACGTCTTGCAGTATCCCGCCGCAAACTCTGGCTGCTCGGCACCGGCAAACCCTGTGACGGCAGGCGGCGGGGAGGTGAGGCGGGGTGTGATGGATGGGCGTGCAGGGAGGCAGCGAGTACGGTGGAGACAGCGGGTGGCGGTGGTGGGGACTGGCGGCGACCTCCGAGGTTCCCGAAACCATCGCCCGCCACACCAGCCTTCTCTCTCTCGCCGCCCGACGCCTCTCGCAACATCTGGTGCGCTGCGATGCCGGTGTGCATACTCCCAAGCGCGTAGCCCAGAGAAAAGATGACGCCGGCCGCGACCAGGCTCGCGGCCGCCGCGCGCGGCTTGCGCGGTTGCTGCTGCGAGTCGAGGAGGGTTTGCATGTGAGGGTGCAGAGCAAGGTGCTTAGATCTAAGAAAACACTACGAGTAAGGGCTTTAGCCCGGCACGACTTTCTTTACTGGTAGCGATCGATGTGCCAATATGGATTTACGTAATCCATTCTAACTTCATTCGCCGAAGGGCGACGGTCTCTCGTGCGCGCGAGCGAGCCCGAGCCTCGCCGCCGCGCCACGAGCGATCTTTCTTCTGCTGGCACAACCCAGCCAGCCGGCGCGCGCGCTCCACGCCGCGCGCCGCTATTGTGCTGCGCCTCGCGCAGCCCAATGTCGGAGGCAGCACTGCTCGCATTCTCCGACATTCCTGGCCTCGCTTCAGCTCTGCCAGAGAGGTCTGACACGGGGATGGATGCCGCCCTGGGCGCATTCCGTGAGGTCCCCACAGCGCCTTCGCGGCCTGGGAGTACGGAGGCCGAGCCTGCTGGCCGTGCCGAGCCGGCCGAGCCCGCAGAAGTTGGCGAGAGCTCCGTGTCTCTCGCCAGTGTGTCAGAAGGCCGTGCCCAGGACGCGGACTGCGCGCGCCTCATCCACATTTTCCACACCCTGTGCCTGGCGCTCGACATCAGCGTCTGGTTCGAATACGTCGCGTCGGGGGCGAACCTCGCTGATCTCCCGTCCCGGGGGGATCGGGAGCTACTCATTGAGATGGGCAGCACGCCCTTCTCACACGTCGAATGGCCGGACCTCGCGGCCGACCTGTCCCGCTCCTTCCAGTCGATCTGGGAGCGCTTCGCCCCCCGACCTAGCACGGGCGACAAGCGGCGGCGCGCGGCGATCGACCGCGCAATCGGCGACCTGCGGGACCCGGTGCCGAAGGCGCCCTGCTGCAGCAACTCGCGCAGGCGCGCACGCATTCGCGAGGGACTGCGCGACGATATCGGGAGCCGCTAGGAGCCTTCCCAGCCCTACCTCTGCGGCACTCTAACCACGTATCAGCCTCCGCCTAGCATACGTGGACCCACCGAGCCAATATGGGAGCAGCCTCGTGGCGAGTGCCCCACGGGCCTTGCTATACGAGCGCCGCCCCGGCTCCTACCGGCATGGCCGGGAGGGGCGCGAGTGGCCTAGTCCACAAGACTGGCCTCTGGAGCTCGCGCCTCTCGTCATCCATTGAGCACTTTAGTGCGAATATCCAGACCTGTCTGTGTCTCCTGTGTACCCTCTCTCGCACAGAGATGTGGACGAGTGAAGAATCTTGACTTTGCGAGGGCGGCCGGCACGGCCGCACCACCCCTTACATTACACCTGGAGAGAGAGAGTGTGTGTGTGTGTACCTGGAGAGAGAGAGTACAAGGTGGAGAGAGAGAAAAGTACGTACAAGGTTGAGCGCCACCACGCAGAGGGAGGGCATGTCGTAGGGAGGGGCCGGCGGGGGCAGGGGCCAGGGGGGGGGCGAGAACATTCTTTTAGTAGCAGGTTGGGGTAGCGTGTTGATGGCAGTGTGTTCACAAGAGAAGCGAATGCGTACTCTTGTTTAGTAAGGTTCGAAAAAGAACCTTGTTCGGAGTGTGCGCCCGATATTATTAGCGCCGATTAAACGTTCATTCGAGTTGATGAGGTCGCGCCGAATTCGCCTTGGGCTCGCCGCGTGAGGAGCTCGTGAGCTCTGCAGGGCAGCCTGTCCCTCATTGGGCACGCGGCACCGACGGACGCGGCACGGCCGTGGAGCCCGCATCGCCGAGCCACAGACAGTAGGGTCGCGACGTACCTGCAGCAGCCGTCGCGCCGACAGGAAGGAGCTCAGGCGTCGCCGAGCAAAGACGCCGCTGCCGTTCCTTTTTCCCGTTCGCGCGGGTCCGTGGCGCATCCCAGCATCCTCGCCCGAGCTCTTTGCGCGCCGCGCGACCACTCTCGGTGTCTCGGGCAGCCTGTGATCCGGAGGCCTCCATGCATGCTGGAACTCGCCGCTCGGTCCTCCGTCGCGGATTTGGAGGCCAGAATCGAGGCCGCAGCCCCCTAAGGGGGGCTGGCCCTGAGGGCCAGCCTTTGAGGGGGGTGTGTGTTGGGGTGTGTGTGTATGTTCGTCATTATGAAGGAGAGCGGGTCAAAAAAGGGCGACTGGGGCTCGGCTCCTTGTTTTGCTAAACAAAGGAAGGTTGAGTGTTTGTGCCGCGTCCTGTGCCCCCGAGTTCATTTAAAAATTGTTTACACACATCCCTTTCTCTTTCGAAAACACACACCCCTTCAAGGAGCCGCTGAGGAGAGAATCGTTTAAAAACACACACCCCTTCAAGGAGCCGCTAAGAAAAGAGTCTCTTTCACAAACACACACCTCTTCAAGGAGCCGCTAAGAAGAGTCTCTTTCCAAAACACAAAGGAGCCGCCAAGGGTGCAGCCTACCGCGCTGGTAGGGGCTATGAGCTAGGGGCTATGAGCTAGGATGTAGGGGGTGGTGGCGCAGAGTGGGATCCCGTTAGCTCTCGAACACCTCTCCGACGCGCTCGACTATAGTCTACGGAAAAAACCACGCCGCGATTCTCAGCTTGTTTGTGTCTGTGTGTCGCTCGTGGTGTCGTCATCATCTGTCCAGCGTCCACCCATACCGCGTTGGTGTCCAGTCCACTGTTCTTCACCTTCCTCCATGTGTATGTTGGTAGGGAGGTGATGAGGAGTCAGTTGTTTATGCGCGGCGGGCGGTTAGTTAGACGTTACGGGGCGAATCGAACGTTCGGACATACATACATAGCGATTTCCGCGAAAATCTACGAAATCACGGCGCTCCGGTGTGTGTGCCAGTCCGCGCCAGTCCGCGCCCTTGTCGTGCCAGTGTGCTGTGAGAGTAGAGAGAGGCTTGTATTTCAACAAACAATAAGAATTGTTGTGGTGCCAGTCCGCGCCAGTCCGCGCCCTTGTCGTGCCAGTGTGCTGTGAGAGAGAGGCTTGTATTTTGAGAATTCTTTCTTCTTGTGTTGTGGTGCCAGTCCGTGTCAGTCTTCCGCGCCCTTGTCGTGCCAGTGTGCTGTGAGAGAGGCTTGTATTTGGAGAATTCTTTCTTGTAGGAAGAAGGGGAGCAGGACGTCGGAGGAGACAGTTTTAGGTTTGTGGTTGGCAAATCAAGACACAGAGCTCACACAGAATCACAGTGCTCAGTGGGAGGAAAGCGGCGAGTCGCAATTCCTGGGGTCCTTGTGGCGGGCCACCCTGTTGCTGTCCAGAAAGCATGGATGCCAATCTGGGGTCTCTCGACCGAGTCTACGAAGCCCTGGCCGCTCCCGGTGGTGTCAAGGTTATAGAACCAAGCGACGGAGATGGTGCGGGGGTACGGGTGTTCCAGGGGGTCACGACACGCACCGACCCTTCACGAACCGAAAGGCTGCACCCGGGGAAGGCACAGTAATCCGGCACGTGTTGGGCGCCCCATTCGCATTCCGTTTGGCGGCTGGGTCGGCTCAGGGCCCCGTCCACTTCCCTCCCACTTGGCGCGTGATGATGAGGAGATGCCGCCCAGCGGCCAGCCAGGGCAGGGGCGGAGGGCGAGGGCGGAGGGCGGGATGGGCGCCAAGCGGGAGGGAGCGGGCGGAGTGGAACGCACAGATGGGGGATGGCGAAGGCGGAGGGGCGGGAAGCGGGGAGGACGGCGGGAGGGTGGAAGTCGGCATGGGCGGGCGGTGGGTGGTTTGGTAGGGCACGGGGGAGGGAGGGTAAGGCCGAAAAGGCCACCTCCTACCAAACAAACAAACAAACAAACAACTGCACTCCAAGTGCTCCAACCAAATCTCTCTCTCCCTCTTAACTGTGTCTCCCTCCAACTATCCCGTACATTACCTTGAAATCGCGCAGCGTCCACAGCGCCTCCCGCACGGCCCACGCACGTCGGGCCGGCGAGTTCCTTGCGAGTCGCGCTCCACTCCGGAGTGAGTGACGCCCAGCAGGTACTCGAGAAGAACACAAACTTTTCACTCACCAAAAAAGACCTAGGTTCCCTCACGCTCAGATTCCCTCACGCTCAGATTCCCTCACGCTCAGATTCCCTCACGCTCAGATTCCGTGCAAGGGCCAAGGGGGTGCCGAGGTATGCCGCAGGCCGGGATGGAGTGAGATCTTGCGGGGCAGGGCGTGGGCTAGCGCGTGAGGGCGCAGGCGAGTGCCCGAAGGTATGGGGGTGGGCGCCACCCTGGGGCTACCCGTAGCATTGATTGTCGGCTCAGTGATGGGTATCCCCAACTCCACTGGCGGTCTCATCTCAGTCTAGCGACCTGCCTCCAGCTTCTCACCGGCAGTCTCTCACTACCACGGGCACACTGACACAGGGGTGGCAGGGGCGGCGGCAAAAAGAAAGAAAGAAAACAGACAACCCAAGGGAGGGATGGGAGGACGGCACGCCGCCACCACACAGGGATTTTAAGGAGAGGTGTGTGGTGCGCTAGCCGTCGCCCACCCTAGGGAGTCTGCCTCTTCCTATCTCTCTTCGCAGTCTCTCGCCGCTTCTCGCTGCAACCTTCATGCCACCTCGCGGTCGTCCCACTCTCGTCGTTCTCTCCCTTGTCATTTCCTCCTCTGTCGCGTCGTTCTCTTCTGCCTCGTCCTGTGACGCCGCCGCCTGCCGGTCCCTTTTTCTCGCGGTTTCTTTTGCCTTTCGGCGCAACTCCGTCCTCCTCGCGGCGTATCCTGGCCCCTCGAGTCTATCGAGCTCCCCTCGCGCAGGGGCGGCGGCATAAATAAATAAATACAACGGACATCCCAAGCTAGGGCTGGGTCGAGGACAGACACGTCCCCACCTTTGCAGGATTTTGCAAAAGCGAGGGGGGAGGGCGCATCGCCGCGCGGAGAGGGCTGGGCACAGGGCACAGGGGATCTCTCTCGCATAGGATATGCACTCGGCGGCACGAGGGCAAGGCTGGGCGTCCTATGTTTGTGCTCCCCCCCGGACCCCTCGCTCTCGGGCACTAACAGGGGCGGCGGCAGGACTCCACATATATGCCGCTGAAATTCTTCCGGGCCCATCTGCGTTGTGGGCTGCCTCTCGGCGCGCCCCGATATGCCCTCCGAGTCGCTCGCCCTCGGCTCGTTCCTCAAAGAGGAGGACCTCGTGCACCTGCACGACGTCCTTGAGTCGCACGGCGGGCTTGCCGAGCTCGCCTCAATGCTGAGCGCCAACCGCGTCCTCTTCTTGGCGCGGCTCAAGGAGTGGGGCGTCAGCCGCCTCGTCGAGCGGCAGCGAGTGGCGAACGGGCTCGCCCGCGCGATCAAGGCGGGACGCGTTGGCACGGTCGCCGCAACGCCACACCTGGCACCGTGCACGTGGACGCAGACGGACGACTGCTTGGTCGCTCGGCTCGCGATACCCGCGGGGACGCCTTCCTCTGCCGTGGCCGTCTCGTTCGAGGTGAACGCGATGGATATTCGCGTGCACGGCGAGGCGTCGTCGATGTGCGGCCGCCTCCACGGCGTGGTCAAGCCCAGCGATTGCACGTGGGAGCTCGAGCGCGCGCCTCCGGCCGAGCCGGCGATGTTTGAGCTGCGGGCCGACCAGCAGCCGCACGACGAGGTCGTCGTCACGCTCGCAAAGGGAAAGGCGGGCGCGGAGTGGGGCGGCCTCTTCGCCTCCGGGGTGGGCATGTCCTCCAAGCGCGAGAAGCCGCCGCCGCCGCCGGAGAAGCCGAAGCCCGCGCCGCCGCCGCCGCGGGCGGGCGGCGGAGTCGGCGGAGTCGGGTTCGTGCAGCGAAAGCTCAAGCTGGGCGAGAGAGGGGGCGGCAACGGGGGCGGCGGGGGCGAGGCGAGAGGCGGCGCGCGGTCCGGCAAAGCGGTGCGCTCCCTCCCCGCGCGCGACCACTGGGAGGGCGAGCGTGCGCGGTACGTGTGGAGGACGGGGTGCGGCCAGCTGAGGTGCGAGACCGAGTCGCCTCCGCCGGTCGAGGGGCACGGCGCCGAGTCGGGCGGCGGGCCGCTGTTTTGGTGGCGAGAGACGGCGGCCGAGGTCGTCCTCACCGCGCGCACGCGGCGAGGCATCGACCTCTCCTCTCTCAGACTCGACGCGAGAGAGGCGCAGCGGCGGCAGCGGCAGCGGCGGCAGCGCTGCCCCTCGGCAGACACGCGGGCGGGTGTGTGGGGTCTAGGCGTCGCTCGACCTCGAGGTGGACGGCATCCCCTCCCCGTGGAGCGGCGCCCTCTGCGGCCGCGCCCTCCCCGCGGGCTGCTCCGCCGCGGTGCTGCCTCCGGCACAGGGCTGCGAGGCGGACCACTCTCTGCTGCAGCTCACGGTGGCGAAGGCGGACGAGGGGCCTTCGGCGCGGTACTGGCGCGCGCCCTTCCGCGACCTGCTCCCGCTCGTCGAGGCGCGCGAGCGGCTCGCCGAGCACGCGCCCCGCGGCTCGCTGCTACACACGCCCGACTCTGGCTGGCAGAGCGGCCAGACCTCGGACGCGTTCGAGGTGCTGATGCCGCTCTCTGCAGACGTCTCCACGGTCGAGGTGCGCGGCGCCCTACCCCCGGTCCCGGCCCCACGCCGCCCGCGCACGCCCGTGACACTTGCGCCGCGTCGCGTCGCCAGGATGCAGACAGGCTGCTGCGTGTCGCGGTGACGGCTCGCTCGGTGAGCGTGCACGTGGCGGGGCAGCCGGACGCGCCTCTGCTCGCGGGGGAGACGCACGGCAAGCTGCTCGTCGGAGGCTGCTCGTGGAGGCTGGCCCGCTCGAAGGTGCGCGGCTGGCGGGGCGAGCCTCTGCAGCAGCTCGAGCTCCACCTCGCCAAGGACACCGCCTCTGCAGGGCCGGGCGGCCACTGGCCGGACCTCTTCTCGACCGAGTACTCGTGAGGGGTCAGGGGAGGAGAGGGCGGCACAGCGCACGTTGAAGCAAGGAGGGCCCTGACTGTCTCTCGACTATGGCGCTCGGACGGCGTCTCGCGGAGCCGCGGAACCACCCGTGAACTTCGGTTGGCGGAGAGCGGAGGTGTGTGAGGACACTATTCAACTATCAACCATCATGTAAACGTCCGCCATACGCATACAGTGTGGACGGCGTCACGCGGAGAAGCCTCAAGCCCACCGGCTCACCAAGACTCTGTTTTGTATTCTCGCACTCGTGGAAATACGACGGAGGGAGAAAATCATGATCGTCGACCCATGATAGAATGGAAGCAAAGATGGACCTGTCAACTGACTCTCTCGCTGGAGACGGCGTCCGCATCGACACTCAGGCGGGTCGCGAACCAGCCTGCGAACAGCACCAAACCGAGAGCAAACCCGATGAGGACTTGCCGCGTGCAACGCTCCTGCGGGTCCTCCTTAGACGCAGGGGTTGGCATCGCAAGAGGATCCATGTTGCACGCCCGGCGGGTCGCAGCCGGGCCGCTTTCTCTAGGGAATCCCTACACCCCCTTGAAGGAAAAGAATTTGGCGTGCGGCGCACAGCCTGATTCACGCGAGTCAGGAACAGCGCTCTCAGTCATTCAACCCACTCGCGTATTTGCTCGCGTCGGCGCCGCCGGAGCGTTGTACAGAGAGCATATTCACTGAGCACCAACGACAGGTGTGACTACGCGCTCGTCTACGCCAAGAAGAAGAACGACGGCGAAGCGCCGAACTCGGTCTCCTTCACGGCGACGCAGAGCGGCGACGTCATCGTCCAGCTGCACCCGCACTCCCAGCTCGAGCGCGCTGTCCGCCATGAGCGGCAGGCGCAGGCCACGGAGCCGCCTACGAGCGCGAGCCCTGCGGCGCCGCCAGCCCCTGCCGCCGCGCCGCCAGCCGCGGAGCCGGCGTCCACCAAGACGTACGCCGCAGCAGCCGCATCGCACCCGCAGGGTGCCACCGCGGGTGGCCAGCCCGCCGCGTCTGCGGGCCCGGCCGCCGCCGCGCGCGTGCCGCCGCCCAGCGGCGGCGGAGTGCGCGGCTGCACCTTCACTGTCCCCGACCCGGGCAGGAAGCACGGGCGGCAGCAGCACGGCAAGGGCCACACCAGCGGCCGCGCCCAATCCGGACCCCGGCTCGACAAAAACGCGCTTTCTGCGCGTGGCGGCGGGCCCTCACGCCTGAGGAGATCTCGACCCAGTCGAGACGTCGTTGAAGCTTCAAGTTGAAGCAGCCGTCGGAGTGCAATGGCATCCTTGCCACCTCATCGATGATGCTTTGCAAATGCTCCCGGCTGCCCGAGATCATGTCCAAAAAGGTCCAGGTGAACGACAAACAGGAGTTGAGGAAGTCGATAGCTGAAACTGGCACAACAGCGGCGGCGGTAGCGGTCCCGGCCGCGACATCATCCGTAATCGGAGAGACGAGCGAGGCGTCTGCTGCCGGCCCAGCTGGCGGCTCGACACGCGAAAAACCTGCCTTCGTGCTCCCTCCCCTGCAGGCTCCATCCCCCGGCGAGGGGGAGGCGTGTGTAGTACCGGGCGCGCCTGACTGCGGCAGCGGCACTGGTGCTGGTGGCTGCCCTGCGGCGGCCAGCAGAGGCGATGGTGAAGGTGATGCATCGAGGTTCTGGGCAGGTTCCTGCACGCCCAAAGCCTCGTCCGATGTTCGTCCAAGTTCTGTTGATTGGTATCGTTGTTGCGTGATGCTCGCGTCCTGCTGCGAATTCACTGCAGCTGGCCTGATCGCTGCCACGGTCAAGCCAATCCCTTCCGGGTTTGGTGAGACTTCCTTCGGAGGAGAGCTCGCCGGCAGCCCGGCAGAAGGCATTCCAGCTGGCGTAGCCCCCTCCCCAACGGAGTCAGGCGACGATGACCCCTTGAGTACATCGATGCCGCCCTTGCTTGGGCTCGCTTACGCGGCTGCCTAGCCCCAACGCGGTGTGGTAGTGATTGGAGCGGTCTGACCAGCAAGTGTCCTGGTCGAGGCCCTCTGTAGTATCGCGAGGCGTCCCTCTTCCCTCGTTTGTAGAGGGATCGTCATCTGGACCCAAAGGTTGGTGCCCAGCAAGTGTGAGTGGGGAGCTGCGTGCACGGCTCTGCGGTACGTATTGCTGATCGCGGGTGAGGCTGTAAAGCCACCCTCGATCCGGGTGCCGTCTCAGACGGCTGTAGGATTGGTATAAGGAACTCGTATCCGAGTGGTTTAAGGGAATGGTGTCGTACAACACCGGGAATGCTGGGGCTCAGCCTCAGCGGGGTGACTGCTCAAGGTGTCACATGACGACGCCTCGAGAGTTGAGGGAGCTATTACGTGGCAATACTTGGGCGCCTGTTCGGCGCCCAAGGTGCCAATATTAGGGATCTAGGTGGCGAGACGTGCCACTGCACAGGGTGTCGGTCTCAGCCCTACCTGGCCGTTCTATATTATAGAATGGCATCCTATAATGTAGAATGGCGTCTCGCGCGCGCTCACCCGGCCGCCTCGCAGCCCCAGCGGCCGGGGGGCGCTTGCCGGGGTTGAGGCTGGTCACACACAGGCGCCACTTTAACGCGGCGAGCCAGAGGAGTCACACAGGAGAGCCCCCAACACGCCACATTTTCAGCAGCAGACGGGCCGCGGTGAGGGCCCATTCTATATCGAAGAATGGGGTCCGCCGCCGTCCCCCACGGCCTCCTCACGCCCCCAGCGGCAGCGTGCCGCTCGGCCAGACTGGTGGGGTTCGCGACAAGCGCCAGTTCAACACAGAGAAGCCCAACAGCCCGCAAATGAGAGTCCTCCCCCCCGCCCCGGCAAACCAGAGCAGACGCCGGGGGCCGTGTATGGCGAAAGCAAACGCACGACGGCCGCCGGCGGCCGTTGAGCCGCTGCCGCCGTTCGAGCCTTGGATGTCCATCCGTCGCCGCCTGTGGCGAGGGCAGTGGAAGTGTGAGATTTGTGCTCGCAAGTGGTGGGCGGGCGAACGGGTCGGGCGGCAGAAGTGAGCAGACAGCGCGAATGCGGTCTACCTGTGTCACATCTACTCCTCGTGTCACCTAGTCATGGTCCTCGCTTCCCTGCCCGGTCTCCGAGTCCTGCGCCTCGCCTGAGTCCTCGTCCAAGTTCGAGTAGTCCTCTCCTCGTCTTCGTCCTCGTCTTCGTCCTCTTCGTCGATCTCGTCGAGCCGGGCGGCTCCTGGCCCGTCCCGGCCGTGACGCTGGGGCCGACTTGCTACAGCGGGCGGGGAGACGGACCGCCAGCTCTGCTGCTGCCTGTGCTGCCCGTAGTCCTCGCCTGCGAGCGAGTGCCCTTTGCGGGGCTGTCGCTCAGAGAGCGGGTGTCGCCACGGCCGTCTTCTGACCTGTTTTGTGGTCTGCGCGTTGCGCTGCGCTGCGCGTCTCGAGGCGCGCCGCAACACAGCCCGTGTAAATGGGGTAATGGATGAACCAAGCATCCCCGATGGCCGGGGGGATGTCCCATGGCCCCGGGGTGGCCGTGGGCACGCAGGGGGCGCCGCTACGGGCCGCTGCGGCGCCCATTCTATTTCGAAGAGAATGCCATTCTGGAATATAGAATGTAGGTCTGAGACCGGTGTGGGAATATAGGGATATAGGTAGACTATTCGTCACTGTGGGGGGGGGAGAGAGTGTGATAATAGGGGTGCTGAGCAGCTGAGCCGGTGGGGCTGGGTGGAGGTGATTCTCCGGGTCAGTCTGGAGGTCATTCTCCACACAATCTCCTGCCACATTAGTGGATAGTGCTAGTCCCCCATCGGGAGGACGACCCCGGCTAGTCGCCGACCACACCCACAAAGAACCCTGCACAAAGATCGCAAGGGCGGGGATCTGTTCCTTTTTACCCATCTCACAGTAGAGGTGTCCCGTTTTAACTTTTATTTATTAACAGCTACAGGTCCCCACCCTCTTGCGAGACTACCGTCCAATGGACCGCAATTATTTTGTTTCTTCTCTTTCGTACAGGTGAGCGTACAGGACCCACCGGGCAACCGTCGTCTCCTCACTCTGCGGCCTCGACGGCGACGCGCTTCCTCGCAAAGGCGCTCTCGTCGCGCTCCGCCACCGCCTCCCCGCCGCTTGGCCAGCCCAAGTCTGCGGGCGACGGCCCCGCCGGCACGATCCCTCCCGGGTTGAGCGGGAAGAGGTCAGTGTAGTAGCCGCGCCTCGCGTCGTCGAGGTCGAAGAGGCCTGGCCCCGTGAGGCGCAGCATCTCGCCGCACCAGCGCTGCAGCCGCGGGTAGTCGGAGCGCACCTGGAAGCGGCCGCAGCGGAAGAAGGGCGCGTAGACGCCGTCGAAGCGCACGACGGTCGGCAGCAGCCGCACGTCCGCCTCGCTCACGCGCGACCCGCACAGGAAGCGCGAGCCGGCCAGAGCCTCCTCGCACCGCCGCAGCCCAGCGTGCACGTCCCGCTCTGCCGCCTCGTACGCCGCTTGCTGGGTGGCGAAGCCGCAGCGGTAGACGCCGTTGTTGACGAGCTCATACGTCCATGCGTTGGTCTCGTCGATCGCCGCGGCGAGCTCCGCGGGGTACAAATCGACGGTGGCGGCGCTGCTCCCCGCCGGCTCGTCGAACTCGTTGAGCATGCGGATGATGTCGGCCGATTCGTTGGAGATGATCTCGCCGTCCTGAAGGTCGACGAGCAGCGGCGCGGTGCAGCGGCCTTCGTAGGCGCCTCCTGGCGTGACTGCGTCGTACACGGCCTTCAGGTCGGCCGCGCCGACGAGGGGATCCGGCGCGGAGTCATCAAAGCACCAGCCGCCGCGGCTCGCGCGCTCAGGGTCGTTGGCGAGGCGCGTCAGACCGACGGCACCATCCAGGCCGCGCAGAGCCAGGGTGATGGATACGCGGTGGCACCACGGGCACGGGTTGCCAACGTAGACGTGATAGCGGCCGGCGACCATTGGTTTGTTTGCTGGCCAGCGCGCACCGGAGCCGCGCTGTGGCGCAGGTCGAACGTACTCGCCGTCTGGCGACTGCGGCGCGAGCTCGCTGATCATCGTCTTCCACAGCGTCGTCCAAGTGAACTTTGCAGTGCCAACGAGCAGCTTCTGGGACGGGATCCACTCGAGCAGGCGGAGGCCTCCGCCGGCCTTGGCGTGGACTGCGGCCGGTCTCGGCGCCACGTGAGCGGCTCGAAGCGGTGGGAGCGTGACAAAGGCGCCGGCGGGGCAGAGCAGGAGGAGCGTGGGGAGTGCACTAGGCATGTGTGATGCACGCATTTACGTTGTTGCGAGGCGAGCGCCCGGGCTGCGAGGCACTCTCCGCGCGCCGCTCTCAGGTGTTGGGTTGTGGGTTGGCGGAGTTGGGTTGTCCGTGCGGGGCCGTGCTTGGGTTGTTCGAGTGAGGTTGGGTCGTCGGCGCGAAGGGTGAGGTCTCGACCGCCGCCGCTCACGCCAGCGGACGGCCACGCCGGTGTTTTTGGCTTCGCCACCGTCCAAAGCGTGCGCCATGCGCTCGCCGACATCGAACGAGCACGCCTGTCCGACGACGCGACGAGCGGCTTGCTGTGCGGACGGCTTCTTGTGGCTCTCGTCGAGAGCGTTTTGCGGCCCGGCGGGTGTGAGAATGTGTGTCGTCTGTTGTGTCACTGTGTACGTCACATCGGTCTTGATAATAAGCACGGTCGATCCGTCGAAGCGATACACTCGTTCCTATCACGTTGGACGGCTTGCATGGAGCTCTGTTCCGGCACGCACAGGAAGAGCCGTGCTGCGGCCCGGACGAAGGTCCTGGCTCGAAAACGCGAGCAGAGGCCGCCGTGTGGGGCCACGGCGAGCCTCGGCGAGAAAGTTCAGCGCGCTATCTCACGCGGTCGGTTGGGTGGACAAGCCAACTCACCGACCCAACCCGTGCCGACAACCCAACCCAACCCAAAAAGCACGATTCTCCTGTTGGGCCCTCAGTCTTCAACGGTCCCTCGCTCCCTGACCCCCTACATTGTACCGGGTAGTGAGTCTGTCGGTAAGCGCAGGGTTAGCGTGGGTTTCACCGGGTTAAGCCACACTAACCAGGCAAGGGTCAGCTCGGGTCAGAACGGGTTACCATAACCCGACGCTAACCCGGCACTAACCCGGCACTAACCCGGCACTAACCCGTCCTAACGTATGACTCCTCCGACGCCCTCCAGGACGAGCTCCAGCGGAAGCTCGGCCTTTGGCTCTCCGTGGCGCTTCCCACCCTTCGGGTCGCGCTCGAGCGGGGCATGCCAGTCGATTTCTTCGGCGACTACCTTTACAACAAGGCCCACCACCGGCGGCCCCACGACGGCGTCCTCGCCGCCTGGGCGGACGCGATGCGCGCCCCGGCCAACGCGCCGGTCGTGCACGGTGACAAGGAGAAACCAGAGCTCACCCGGCAGTACAACGAGGGGTACAAGGTCGACCTCGCGGAACCCCACGCTGGCCCGGGAGGATGCGATGAGGTGAATGAAGTCAAGCTCTGGACGCCCCTCCTCAAGACCTCCTCGGCGGGCGTTGGCAACGCCTCGAGTGGCGGCACGCCCGCCTCCGTTGGCCACTCCTACGCCTTCGGCAACGAAGAGAAGGCCCGCCGCCTAAACATGGGCTGCAAGGCGCGCGGGCAACCCGGCCAAAACCCTTCGACCACAAGAACGGCCACGGCTACGTCAAGGCGCATCGCGGTTTCTACCACGACGCGATCTTTGTCAAGCGCAACAACTTCAACCTGCTGCTCCACGAGACGTTCGGCGGCGGCTTCTCTCGCCCACCGCCGTTCTCAAGCTGCGCCGCCTCGCGCGCAAAGCCGCGCGCGGCAGCGTCGACCGCACGGCCTACTCGCCCAAGTACTCGCTTTCTTTTATGTCCCACCATGCAGAGCGCATCTCTCTCTCTGTTGTGCGAGGCGTGAACCGCGCCATTCGCTCTCACCTGGCAACCCTGTCTGCACGTCTCGCGCGCGCGTGAACAGGCCTCCAGGCCCCAAATGACGTGTGAGTGTTAGAGTTGTTTGGTATTGCTAAAAATCTCTCTCTAACGTATGCCCCCAAGCTGCAAGCAGCGCGGGTTAGCACCGGGTTAGTCTCGGGTTAGTCTCGGGTTAGGTTGGGTTAGAGCTCTGCGGCTCGTTCCGCCCCTCTCTCCTGCGTTCACTCACTCGCCACACCACAGCCGCGGGCGCATGGCGAGCGGGACAGTCTCATTCATGCCACAGGATCTATAACGTACCGCCCTCAGGAGTGCACTCCTCCTCCCTAGCGCCATCACTGGCACACGTTGAGGGCTGCACTCGCCGCTTTCCTCCCGCTGTGATTTTGTGTGAGCTCTGTGTCTTGATTTAACAACAACATCGCACTCCCCGCCCCCACTCGCAAAACCCCAAACCCAGGTCGTTGGCGTGCAAGCCCTACGTATATGTCCATCCTCGCCACCGCCTGTGCGCTGCTGCTGGCCCTGGCTCCTCCCACGGAGCCACGCTCTCGACCGGTCGTGCTCTCGCGCCGTCAGCTGCTCCCCGCGCTCGGCGCCGCCGCCGCCGCCGCGAGCGCCGCTGCGCCTCGGCCAGCGTCGGCGGCGTTTGGCCCTGCCGGAGCCGCGGTGACGTCTGTGCCGGACGTCCTTCGAATCAACGTCGAGGAGTGGCTTGCCCTGCCCGCGGACAAGGCTCTGCAGCGGATCGGCACGCTGTCGGTGGAGCGGCTGCAGGTGGTGTCCGAGGAGCTGGAGACGGCCCTCGCCGACGCCAGCTCCGGCACGCTCGGCGATCTGATCAAGCGGCTCGAGGACGACGTGGCGGACTACAACTCGACGAGCACGTACGCCGAGCTCCAGCGCGCCAGGGAGCGCGCCGAGCGGGCGAAGGCGGCGGTCGTGCTCTCTCGCCAGCTGCGCGAGCAGGAGAAGCTGCTGCAGCAGCTCGATGCGCAGCCGCCGTGGGTGGTGTACGGCGCGGCGGCGCTCGCCTCGCTGGGCAGCACCCTCGTGATGCACCCCATCGACACGCTCAAGACGCGCCAGATCGCCGGCGCCGCCGGCGCAGACGGAGACGCCGCGCGCTCGGCGGCCGCGCCTGCGCGTGCCGCCGCCGCCGCCGTGGCAGCTGAGCCGGAGCCGTTGTCGATCGGCGAGCTGTACGTCGGCCTGCTTCCCAACATCGTCAAGGAGGCCCCCTCCTCGGCCCTCTACCTCGGCCTCCGCAGCTCCGCCGCCTCTCGCACGAGGGAGGGCGGGAGGCCGCCTCACGCCCGCCGCCACGGTGCGAGTAGGCATCTACGAGCTAGCCAAGGGGCTGCTGCTGCAGGGAGGGCTCGCGGCGACGCCCCTGCTCGCCTACCTGCTCGCCGGCGCCGCGGGCGAGTTCGTCGGCTCGCTGATCCGCGCGCCCGCCGAGGCGACCAAGGCGCGCCTCCAGTCGGGCCTTGCCTCGTCGACGGGAGACGCGCTGGGGCAGGTGCCCGCCCTCCGGCTGGCCGCAGCCGTCTCGGCCACAGCTCGGCCACGCCTCTGCTCTCTCTCTCCCTCTCTCCCTCTCTCCTCCCCCTCGGACAGGTCTTGCTCTCGGGCGAGGGCCGCTCTCGCACGCTGACGGCGTGGTCGTCGTCGCTGCTGCGCGACGTGCCGATGGGCGCTGTGCAGATCGCCGTCTTCGAGCTGCTCAAGGCGTACCTCGTCGCGAGCCCCTCCTTCGGATCCTTCAACGGGCTGCCCGCCGAGGCTGCCTTTGGCGCCATCGGCGGCCTGATCGGCGCCGTCATCACGACGCCGGCGGACGTGGTGACGACGCGCATCATGACGAGGGGCGGGGAGGGAGGCGGCGGGGGCGGCGCGAGCAAGGGCGGCCGCGCGAGGGCGGTCGCGCACAGTGCAGACGAGGAGGGCCCGCTCGGCGTGGCAAAGGCGATCCTCGCAGAGGACGGCCCGGCCGGCTTCTTTGTGGGCGTCGGCAGCCGCGGGCTCTACTGGGCGCCCGCCATCGGCATTTTCCTCTCGCTGTACTGCTCGCTCAGGCAGGCGGCGCTGTCCCTGTAGCGTGGAGCTTTGGGGAGGTCGGTGCTCCCGGAAGTTGGCGCGCGTACGGTCAACTGGTCGCGAGCCGTTCATCGGCAGCCTCTGGGCAACACGCCCGCGGCCCGTTTGTTGTTTGTTGTTCGCTCTCTTCCACCACTTCGCACTTGGAGATATGGGGAGTTGGACTCTTCGTGCAGTTGTACTGTTTCCGTAACCGTATGCGTTGTCCGTAAACCAATCAAAGTCTTTGACTATGACTAACGCATGTGAGTACAACACTCGCGCAAGCGCGGAGACACGCAGCACGCCCGCGGCCACGTTTGACGACTGCAATAGCGGCAGCAGGTGTCAAACCGATAATTCGGGCTCCTGGAAGCGCAAGCGCGCCACTGCACCGCGGCCGGAGACGCCAAACGAAATGTCGATGGAAGTGCAGCCGCTGGTCGAGAAGCAGAGCGCGGTGGCTCGCGTGCAGTTCAGGTTGGGGCAGTCCAGCATGCACGCTTCGCTCGGACGCTTCGTCCACACGTCGCGCTCGATGCACGCTCTGTCACTCCCAGGAGCTCGCTGCGCGAGGTTTTGGGAGAAGCTGATGCGCTTGCCTCTGGATGTGCGGGCGGAGAGAGCGCTCTCGCGCTTGAGTGTGGCGACAGTGCCCTCGACATTGATGTTGACGATGGCGCACACGGGCAAACGACGACACAACACTTTGGCTTTGCGGCATCCGTCTCGTCGGCATCCGATCATGCAGGCACCGGCCGCCCACGGTTCGTCGCGATAGATATCCTTCTCCTCGCAGTCAAAGTCGTCACCCGCAAAGGGCCCAAACGGCCCTTGAAGAACGCGCGGAGCAGACAAGAGGGCGAGCGAAAGCAAGGCTGAGGTCATTTGCGTCCAGCCTGCGACTAGGAGTGACTTCTGAAGTCACTCGCCCCGCGCGCGCACAGTACGTGCTCTCGCGGCCGGCCCGTGCACCGTGATAGCCCGCGGACTCGGCCCTGTCAGGCCGATGGGAAGGCTCTGGGTTCCGGCTCCTAGCCTACCTACCTATCCCAAGGCCGCGCAGCGAAGCGAAAAAAAGATGAATCGAGTGCGCCTACCTATTGCGGCGTACCGTCCTCCCATCCCTCCCTTGGGTTGTCTGTTTTCTTTCTTTCTTTTTTGCAGGGCCCTTTTGGGCGAAACAAGACCAACCTACCTACTCGAGTATCTGGGAGGGGCCAGCCAGTGTGGACAGACCCCCTATCCGGCTAGGAGCCCGGGCCCTGAGCAGCCTGGGCGGGGTTCAAACGGCTTTGGAGCACTTGGGGCACTTGCACCCCTATTTGTTTTCTCCTTCCTCGTACGAAGAGGCGCACACGGCCTGCCTCCGCACCGCTACGCGATGACACTCAAGCGCCGCAGTCCCGTCGACATGCAGGCACCCAATGCTGTGCCGGAGGCTGACTGGTCGAGACGGTCGACCTCGTCGTGGCTCTCCCGCGCGCCGCCGCTTCTCGTGTGGACAGCTGGTTCGGCTCGGACGCAGTGGACAAGAGGACCACCACATTCGCTGGCACACCGCGGCCGATGCTGTCTGCGCTCCCACGCAAGCGCCGGTATCCAAATCGGCTGCATGCGTTACTGCGCTTACTGCGCGACGCCGCCGACCTCAGCCTCTCAATACCAATGCGCACGCCCAGCATCGACTACATTGGTCTGCGCGAATTCGATGCGCCGTGCGACGTTTGAGGCGGACAGCCCTAGGCGGCACGGCGCCTGTGCTCGTGTTTAGTGTGCTCGTGTTCAAGCAAGAAGCATCAGTGCGGGTACATGCGGTCCTACCACTGCACACAGTGCTTCCCGGACCCGAGCCAGGTTGGCTACGCGATCTGCAGCCCGGTCGGGACAAAAGCTGGCGACCCTCACCGGCTTTGCCAAGCACCTGCTCGAAGAGGAGCCGTCGCATCGGGCGCAGCAGCGCATCCCGCCGCGACGAGGCGATCGACCATCGCCGTACCGGCGACTTGAGCCTGCGCCTGCGCCGGCGGCGGCGGCGCCGGCCGCCGCGGCGCCGGCAGCCGCAGTGCCCCGTGCGCGCCGCCGCATCATCTAGAGGAGAGACGGGGTGAGTGGCGAGTGTGCGGCGGCCGGAGGGCGCGTCAGACGACCGCAAAGGCGGCCCACATGCGGAGTGACCCCGTTTCGGGCGTCCCTCACCGGCGTACTTGAGGTGCTTCAGACGGACGCTGCGTGGGCTGTCAGCAAGGTAGGTGAGTGTCTAGGGGTCGTCTCTAGGCTGGTTAGCCTTGATTTGGATCAAAGATGGCCGCAAGAAACGGTCGCGATGCCTCGTGTGAACGCTGTGAAAAAAGTTAAAAAAAGAGAGGCTAGTGCCATTTCACTCACTCTGACACGCTAATCTTGAAAACGTCTCCAACGGAGCTCCGTGTTGCATCCAGCGCCCTCCCCCGCGCTCCCTGCGGCCATGGCCGATGATCCTAGTATGAGAGGTCATCTGGCTACCGCGAGAGCGACCCAACTCGTCGACATCGTCCGATGATGGTGCCGCAAAGTCAGCCTTCGGAGGCTATCGTGGGGTCGAGCCGGCAGTAGCCGTGACATGTGGTTCCACCACCCCTCGTAGGCTTTGCCTCTGATCGCCACCGTTCCCGGGCTGCCTAATGGGATGGAAAGGAAGGCTCGGCGAGCGTATAGAAGCGTGCTCGACCTCGTCGTGGCAACCTGCACGGCAGCGCTGGCGGGCGCGATGAGCGTCGTGCCACCTGACCCGAGACGGGTCGCAGGCGTCGTACTGAGCGCGTCGAGACCGTGTCCTGATGTGATCTGCACGGGTAAATCACGTCGGCGTCAAAGGAGCGACGTGCGACCTGTCAGAGCTTGATCTCCGATCTCAGCGGCGTCGAGTCGTCTCCGGCGCGCGACAAAGGTACATCCACAGGACGCGCAGAGGCAGCTGCGACCCCGCTGAGAGCGGAGATCAAGCTCTGACAGGTCGCACGTCGCTCCTTTGACGCCGACGTGATTTACCCGTGCAGATCACATCAGGACGCGGTCTCGACGCGCTCAGTACGACGCATGCG